ATATATATATATATATATATATATATATATATATATATATATATATATATATATATATATATATATATATATATATATATATATATATATATATATATATATATATATATATATATATATATATATATATATATATATATATATATATATATATATATATATATATATATATATATATATATATATATATATATATATATATATATATATATATATATATATATATATATATATATATATATATATATATATATATATATATATATATATATATATATATATATATATATATATATATATATATATATATATATATATATATATATATATATATATATATATATATATATATATATATATATATATATATATATATATATATATATATATATATATATATATATATATATATATATATATATATATATATATATATATATATATATATATATATATATATATATATATATATATATATATATATATATATATATATATATATATATATATATATATATATATATATATATATATATATATATATATATATATATATATATATATATATATATATATATATATATATATATATATATATATATATATATATATATATATATATATATATATATATATATATATATATATATATATATATATATATATATATATATATATATATATATATATATATATATATATATATATATATATATATATATATATATATATATATATATATATATATATATATATATATATATATATATATATATATATATATATATATATATATATATATATATATATATATATATATATATATATATATATATATATATATATATATATATATATATATATATATATATATATATATATATATATATATATATATATATATATATATATATATATATATATATATATATATATATATATATATATATATATATATATATATATATATATATATATATATATATATATATATATATATATATATATATATATATATATATATATATATATATATATATATATATATATATATATATATATATATATATATATATATATATATATATATATATATATATATATATATATATATATATATATATATATATATATATATATATATATATATATATATATATATATATATATATATATATATATATATATATATATATATATATATATATATATATATATATATATATATATATATATATATATATATATATATATATATATATATATATATATATATATATATATATATATATATATATATATATATATATATATATATATATATATATATATATATATATATATATATATATATATATATATATATATATATATATATATATATATATATATATATATATATATATATATATATATATATATATATATATATATATATATATATATATATATATATATATATATATATATATATATATATATATATATATATATATATATATATATATATATATATATATATATATATATATATATATATATATATATATATATATATATATATATATATATATATATATATATATATATATATATATATATATATATATATATATATATATATATATATATATATATATATATATATATATATATATATATATATATATATATATATATATATATATATATATATATATATATATATATATATATATATATATATATATATATATATATATATATATATATATATATATATATATATATATATATAACAGACTCCTTCTGCTGACTCCGAGTTGACCATTACCAACACTCTCTTCGAACAGCCAGTGATCCACATGACCACCTGGATGCACCCCCGCTCCAAACACTGGCACCTGATAGACTTTGTCATCACAAGACGCTGTGACATTACCGACATTCTGGTAACCCTGGCCATGAGAGGAGCAGACTGCTGGTCAGACCACATCATGCTGCATTGTGAAGCATCCTTCTGGATTGCAGGCAAGCATAGAAAACAGCCCAGCAGTGTGAAGAAGCTTGACGTGAACAAGCTGAACAGCCCACAGCTTCAAAACGCCCTTAGCGACGCCCTCTCGGAGAACAGTTACAATAGGACAACAGTGATCAAGTCGCTGAATGGGCAGCAGTCTACAGTACTGCCGAATCGGTTTTCGGGCACCCACAGAGAAATCATCAAGACTGGATTGACGACAACGACCAGGAGATTCTCAACCTTCTGGCAAGTTAAAGAGCAGCCCATGCAACCTGGCTAAGCGACAGGGCCTCCCCGTCAAAGCACGAGACCTTCAAGGAGCTGAGAAGCGAGGTGCAAATCAAGATCAGACAGATGAAGGACGCTTGGTGGGAGGCGAAAGCAGAAGAACTTCAAAGCTACGCTGATCAACACGCCACCAAGCTCTTCTTCAGTGGTCTGAAATTTGTTTATGGGCCTTCCTCCAGCATCATGACCCCAGTTCGTGCAGACGATGGGACCCTGCTAACAGACAAGGGGCAAATACTTGATCGCTGGACAGCCCACTTCAGCCAGCTGCTAAACAGACCATCCACCATCGACGAGCAGACACTTCAGGACATGCCGCAGCGACCTCTGACCCCCACCCTTGACGAGAGTCCAACAAGAGAGGAGACGCTGAAGGCTATCAACCAACTCCAGACTGGTAAAGCGCCAGGGCCAGAAGGAATTTCTCCTGAAATCTACAAGATGGGAGGTGAAGTTATCGTCGATCGGCTGACCAGCCTGTTCCAAGCCTTCTGGGAGAAGGGGGAGCTGCCGCAAGACTTCAAAGATGCCAACATCATACACCTGTATAAGAACAAGGGTGAGAAGGCTGCCTGCGACAACCACAGAGGCATCTCCCTCCTCAGCATCGCGGGAAAAATCCTGGCATGCATACTGCTGAACAGGATCACTTTGCATCTAGTGGACAGAGTGGTCTCCAAGAGTCAGTGCAGCTTCAGGCAGAACAGAGGTACCGTCGACATGGTCTTCAGCATCAGGCAGCTACAGGAAAAGTGCATTGAACAGCAGCAAGACCTGTACCTGCTCTTCATAGACCAGACCAAGGCCTTTGACACTGTCAGCAGACCCGGCCTTTGGTCCATCCTGTCCACACTTGGCTGTCCCCCAAAGTTCATCAGAGCTGTACGGTCCTTCCACGACAGCATGTTGGCCAGAGTGATCGAGAACGGTGATGTCTCTGAGCCCTTCCCTGTAACCAACAGTGTGAAACAGGGTTGCGTCCTGGCTCCAACATTGTTCAGCCTGCTGTTCACTGAAATGCTGTCAGCCGCACTCACCTAGACTCTTTGCTGATGGTTGCGCACTTGTTGCTCACTCTGAAGAAGACCTGCAATGCCTAGCTGACTGTTTCTCCGCCGCTGTGAAAGCCTTCGGGCTGACAATCAGCATAAGGAAGACAGAGGTGATGTACCAGGCAGCCCCTGGTACCAGCAGGCCAGAGCCAGTCATCAGGATTGACTGCGCTCCACTCAAGAATGGCGAGGAATTCACCTACCTAGGTAGCTGCATCTCCTCGTCAGGGACCATGGACCAGGAAATCTCCTGCCGGCTAGCAAAGGCAAGCAGCTCCTTCGGGCGTCTTTGGACAAGAGTGTGGCTTGACCACGGCATCACACAGGGGACGAAAGTTGTAGTATACAGAGCTGTGGTATTGTCATCACTCCTGTACGGCTGCGAAACGTGGACCTGCTACCGCCGACACGTCAAGAAACTGGACCAATTTCATCTCCGCTGCCTTCGCAAACTCCTGGGTATCCACTGGGAAGACAGTGTGACTAACCAGGAGGTCCTTCACCGTGCTCCCCTGCCTGGCATCGAGGCCCTGTTCATACAGGCTCAGTTGAGGTGGTCAGGCAACGTGATGCGAATGGAAGACAGCCGTTTTCCAAAACAGCTCTTCTGCTCTGAGCTGGCCAGAGGCACAAGGAAACAAGGAGGCCAGATCAAGTGCTACAAAGACTCCCTCAAGCAGTCCCTGCGGGCCTGCAACATCCCCGTCGCAGGTTGGGAGGGACTTGCTGCCAACTGCACTGCCTGGAGGCAGTCCACACTGTCAGGGGTCAAGGCCTTTGAGGAGCGTCGCCTAGAGCAGCTTGATGCCAAACGCCAGGCCAGAAAAGACAGAAGAGTCAACCCCGTTACTGCCGTAGCCTGCCCGGTGTGGGGACGAATCTGCGCATCCGAGTTCGGGCTACGATCGCACCAGAGGCGTCACTGACGTCATCGTCGCTTCGATGATGATATGTTCATGTGTGTGTATACACACATACACATCTATATATACATATATATACAGACACACACACACGTGTGTGTTTATGTACTGCATTTCTTAAAAATATCTTATCCCCAAGCAATATATTTAGCAAGTGACAGAATTTCAAGCAATTTTACTTGACAAACAGCTGCTAATGATGAACTCAGGATAGCTCTAATGTATGATGGTGTGTTTGACTATGAATACAACCGCAAATATCATAATTTATTATGAAGGGAAAATAAATAACGGATAAAAGACAATTGAATCCTCCCCGTATCCTATAGATCTGAATGCACACGGCTCTCAAACTCTCGCTCTGCGCACGGCTCGCTCTCGCTCGTACCCGCGCTCTCGCTCTCGGGATTTAAATCATTATTCTCTCATCGCCTCTGAAGTATTTATTTATTTTTTTATTTTTTTATTTATTTATTTATTTTTTTTTGCATACGATTGAGGAGGTAGCTTGAAATGAATGAATAATGACTTTATAGTTATATTTAGTTAACATTACTGACTGTTCATCAGTGCTTGAAGCATCTTGCGAAAATGATATAAAACACAGTTTAGGTCATAGTTTACATGTATCTTACTTAAAAGGACATGATATAAATCCTCCGCGGCTATGTTACGCATGCATATATCTATAGAAGAGTAATCTAAATCGAATCATTAATAGCATAACTGGCAACGATGACGCTCCTGCACACGGCACGCAACCGGCTGTCTTACGTCAATATAACCATTGCACACGTGGTGTTTGACGCAGAAGCTCACAAGCAGTATTATCATATCGTCAGACTCAGCTCCATTTCATACCACTCAAGATGCCTGGACCCTGCTGCAATGGTAAGGAACTTTGGTGCTGTAATGTTTTTCGTACTATTGTCATTGATTGTGAAATTTCTGTAGTGCGCATTTGTGTGTCGACTTTCTCATGTAATAGTTCCCGGTGTTGTCGCGAGCAGGTAGCTGTGCCGAACGTGCGACACTGGCTATTCTCCCTGTAAATTAGTGGCAAAATCACTGCATAGTGTGACCTGATTAGCTTAAATTTCCCGAAAATAAAGCGTGAAAGCAAACGGAGATTTGGGAGGACTGAGAACGGGAAATGATCAATACAAACCCCTGTGACGCGATGACCTACGACGCCACACGACACCTGGGTTACGTAGTTCCAAGGTGCAAAAAAATGATCATGACGTGGTATTTTGCTTGATTAACCATTGTAATTTGCGATATACCTTGCCAGAATTGCTAATTTCCTATAAAAGGAAAATGACAAATCCGGAACTAATTCAGTGAAAAGGTAAACTGAAGAATCTAACCCACCAGTCCTTGCCACTGCGCAGCTACGTACATAACTAAGGACCTCGGTATTGCCTCGAAAAACCATATCACAACACCGTCTTCTTCACAACATTAATTTAACCCCTTTGTGACTACATATCCCGTCAGACGCTTCCGCTCCAAGGACACGACCCTCTGTGCGCTGCAAGCAAGGTTTCAGAGCAGCTGCAGAGGTGTTCTTCAAGGTCAAATATCACAGTCAGTCATGTCTACTACGGCCATTCATAATATTTGTACATTTAAAAGCCTGAGAGTGCAGTACGATTTTCTGTATATTTTAGTTAGGTTTAGTTTCAGCTGATTCGTTTTAATGATGGTAGGAAATATCTTGTTTGATAAGAGAAACTCTCCCTCCCTCACGTCTCCATATACTTTCTCAGTGGCCGAGCGACACACCCCCTTCCACCGCCTAGTCTCTTAATTATACATAGCAATGCCCTTTGTTATATGTATACTTAAAACGTACACACACACGTTGATATACACACACACACATTGATACACACACACACACACATTGATACACACACACACACACATTGATACACACACACACGTTGATACACACACACACACACACACGTTGATACACACACACACACACACACACGTTGATACACACACACACACACACACGTTGATACACACACACACACACACACGTTGATACACACACACACACACACACGTTGATACACACACACACACACACACACGTTGACACACACACACACACACACACACGTTGATACACACACACACACACGTTGATACACACACACACACACGTTGATACACACACACACACACACACACACACACACACACACACACACACACACACACACACACACACACACACACACACACACACACACACACACACGTTGATACACACACACACACACACGTTGATACACACACACACACACACACGTTGATACACACACACACACACACACGTTGATACACACACACACACACACACACGTTGATACACACACACACACACACACACGTTGATACACACACACACACACACACACACACACACACGTTGATACACATACACACACACACGTTGATACACACACACACGTTGATACACACACACACGTTGATACACACACACACACACGTTGATACACACACACACACACACGTTGATACACACACACACACACACGTTGATACACACACACACACACGTTGATACACACACACACACACACGTTGATACACACACACACGTTGATACACACACACACGTTGATACACACACACACACACACGTTGATACACACACACACGTTTATACATGGATAATTAGGGTCTCCGAACATCTATATAGCGGTGCATGTGAATGAAAAGGATACCTCTTTACATAGATGTGGAAAATGCACTTGCACCAGTAAGATTTTTTTAGATACTTTCTTTGATATTCCCTGTCTTGTTTAGAAGACCGGCATCACGCCTGCAATAGTTGAATAACGATTCGCTAATAGGATTTAGTCTTTGGTAAATATTTAAGAAGCAGTAGAGTTAGATTTCTTTTTCTAACGGCCATTACATGCTTTGAAGTCGGACGCTGTGGTGACCAAGCTGTAGTGTTGCCTATAGCGACAGATGTGGAAAAGAGGACCAGGTGTATGTGGTGATCAATCTTCACACCTGTTTACTGCTGCAGCTGCTTCAGTGGATCATTTCAATTCGAGTCGTCTCTCCCCTCCCCCCCTCCCTCCCTCCCCTTTCTCCGTTAACCACGTTAAATTGAAAGTGAATTCTTTATATTCTCGCTTTTCTCTTTCGTACATTGTGTGTAGTGAGATCAGAATCTATCTTGCCCCATGTACCTTTTCCAATTTGATCATGTTACATTGGGGGGGGGGGGACTTACGTCTGTCGGCACTTGCCCCCCCCCCCACACACACACAAAAGATTGTGTGCGCGTTTTGTTTAACTCAGTGGCCAGAGTTTTACTTTCCGATTGGATATTGCCTAGACTTCATACTTCACTAGCACTATCGTCTGTCTGGTATATCTGTAATGCAATTTCGTATTAATCCCAATTTCGATGTAACGCGATTTAGTCTGTGAGCATTGGTGTGCTGTGTAACCAGCCAAAGCTATATGGAATATTAAGATTTTCAGCATGAGTACTGTTATTTTTTGTCCTACGCTGTCTTCCAGATAAACCAAGCATTCCTTCTTTTTTAACACCTATTATACAATAGTCCTCAATTTTCAGACCTAATGGTGAGGTTGTATTATTTATTATTAATACGGATTACCGTTATACCCTCCTGATTAGGCATGAGCAATTTTAGATTTTTAGGAGGATAGCTAAGGATTTTGTTATTCCCGGTAAATTGCACAGAACTCTTCGGCAAAACTAAAGGTAGATTTTAAGAAATAGACCGGTATGTTTCCCGTTTTGAAATATCACCTATATACCTCCTTCATATTGTAATGCTAGTCTTTACAGATATCGATAAGAATTGGTTCACACTTATCACCATTCTATTCCTTATCCTTCGGTCATAAAATAGAGTAAGGTGCCTCGTATATTTTAACACGTATTATGATCAACTTAATCTCTTCGTCTCGTCATGACAGATCTCGGAATGTGACTCCGCCCATTATCCTACTTTTTTTATTCCTTTCCTTTATTGTAGATTCGTTTTTAGCTTAGTTTTGTGTTCATTTGTTGCCAGTTATTAACTTGTATAAAAGAGGCATCTGTTTTCGTAAATCTTTGCACTTTTGGATATTGATAGGTCTCATTTGCTGTTGCAAGCGAAAGAATGAGTGTCTGCATATATGCGTATTTGCGTGTGTGTGTGTGTGATCTGTATGGTTGTTTGTACTACCTGTGTAAGACAAGTGTTACGGAAAGATCAATAATCTTAGGCATTTCAGAAAGGAATAAGAATTGGCCTCTTTTATCGGTAAAAGTTGAGCCAGAGTAAGATGCTTTTACATCCCCCCCCCCTTCGAATCCTTTCCTATCTGTTTTTTTCGTCTTTGTCTACTCAAACGAACACGCTTTCCAACTTTTATTTTTTACTTTCTTCACTCTCGGACCTCTGTTCCGTCTACTTTCCTACATAGTTCCCCTTTTTAAACCCCCTTCTCATCCCCTCTTTCTACTCTCTCTCATCCTCTCTCCCATTCTCTCCTCTCTTCTCACTCTCTCTCTTCGCTCCTCTCATCTCAATCCTCTCTCTATCACTCCTCCCATCGTCTCTCTCTCTCTCTCTCTCTCTCTCTCTCTCTCTCTCTCTCTCTCTCTCTCTCTCTCTCTCTCTCTCTCTCTCTCTCTCTCTCTCTCTCTCTCTCTCTCTCTCTCTCTCTCTCTCTCTCTCTCTCTCTCTCTCTCTCTCTCTCTCTCTCTCTCTCTCTCTCTCTCTCTCTCTCTCTCTCTCTCTCTCTCTCTCTCTCTCTCTCTCTCTCTCTCTCTCTCTCTCTCTCTCTCTCTCTCTCTCTCTCTCTCTCTCTCTCTCTCTCTCTCTCTCTCTCTCTCTCTCTCTCTCTCTCTCTCTCTCTCTCTCTCTCTCTCTCTCTCTCTCTCTCTCTCTCTCTCTCTCTCTCTCTCTCTCTCTCTCTCTCTCTCTCTCTCTCTCTCTCTCTCTCTCTCTCTCTCTCTCTCTCTCTCTCTCTCTCTCTCTCTCTCTCTCTCTCTCTCTCTCTCTCTCTCTCTCTCTCTCTCTCTCTCTCTCTCTCTCTCTCTCTCTCTCTCTCTCTCTCTCTCTCTCTCTCTCTCTCTCTCTCTCTCTCTCTCTCTCTCTCTCTCTCTCTCTCTCTCTCTCTCTCTCTCTCTCTCTCTCTCTCTCTCTCTCTCTCTCTCTCTCTCTCTCTCTCTCTCTCTCTCTCTCTCTCTCTCTCTCTCTCTCTCTCTCTCTCTCTCTCTCTCTCTCTCTCTCTCTCTCTCTCTCTCTCTCTCTCTCTCTCTCTCTCTCTCTCTCTCTCTCTCTCTCTCTCTCTCTCTCTCTCTCTCTCTGTCTGGTATATCTGTAATGCAATTTCGTATTAATCCCAATTTCGATGTAACGCGATTTAGTCTGTGAGCATTGGTGTGCTGTGTAACCAGCCAAAGCTATATGGAATATTAAGATTTTCAGCATGAGTACTGTTATTTTTTGTCCTACGCTGTCTTCCAGATAAACCAAGCATTCCTTCTTTTTTAACACCTATTATACAATAGTCCTCAATTTTCAGACCTAATGGTGAGGTTGTATTATTTATTATTAATACGGATTACCGTTATACCCTCCTGATTAGGCATGAGCAATTTTAGATTTTTAGGAGGATAGCTAAGGATTTTGTTATTCCCGGTAAATTGCACAGAACTCTTCGGCAAAACTAAAGGTAGATTTTAAGAAATAGACCGGTATGTTTCCCGTTTTGAAATATCACCTATATACCTCCTTCATATTGTAATGCTAGTCTTTACAGATATCGATAAGAATTGGTTCACACTTATCACCATTCTATTCCTTATCCTTCGGTCATAAAATAGAGTAAGGTGCCTCGTATATTTTAACACGTATTATGATCAACTTAATCTCTTCGTCTCGTCATGACAGATCTCGGAATGTGACTCCGCCCATTATCCTACTTTTTTTATTCCTTTCCTTTATTGTAGATTCGTTTTTAGCTTAGTTTTGTGTTCATTTGTTGCCAGTTATTAACTTGTATAAAAGAGGCATCTGTTTTCGTAAATCTTTGCACTTTTGGATATTGATAGGTCTCATTTGCTGTTGCAAGCGAAAGAATGAGTGTCTGCATATATGCGTATTTGCGTGTGTGTGTGTGATCTGTATGGTTGTTTGTACTACCTGTGTAAGACAAGTGTTACGGAAAGATCAATAATCTTAGGCATTTCAGAAAGGAATAAGAATTGGCCTCTTTTATCGGTAAAAGTTGAGCCAGAGTAAGATGCTTTTACATCCCCCCCCCCTTCGAATCCTTTCCTATCTGTTTTTTTCGTCTTTGTCTACTCAAACGAACACGCTTTCCAACCTTTTATTTTTTACTTCCCTTCACTCTCGCCCTCTTTCCGTCTACTTTCTACATATTTCCCCTTTTTAACCCCCATTCTCTCTCTTTCTCTCTCTCTCTCTCTCTCTCTCTCTCTCTCTCTCTCTCTCTCTCTCTCTCTCTCTCTCTCTCTCTCTCTCTCTCTCTCTCTCTCTCTCCCTTTCCCCCCCCTCTACCTCCTACTCGCTTCTTAAATGGGAAGTGGCTTCTTGTAGTGTCCTCCGCCCGTGAATAATTCAGGTCCTTCAACATTGCAGATAAATGCGTGTGCGCCGAGGGAGGCTGCAAGAAAGGTTGCCTGTGCAAGAGCTGTCGCTGCGAGCCCTGTGAAAAGTGTGAGTAGTTCTCCTTTCCTTCTTTCTTTTCTTTCTCTTCTATTACTTCTTTCTTCGCTCTCGCTTTCCTGTCTGTCTCGGTCTCTCTCCCTCCCCCTTTCCTTCCGTCCTTCCTTTCCGTCTCTCATTTATTCTCCCTTTTTTTTATCTGATACTCCATTTCACCCTTTCTATATTACTCGCATCTGTTCTATCAGTTTTAGTTATCGCTTCATAACTTAACACCGTACTGTGTTGTAGAAAGGACATAATTAACTTAGTTATTGAAAGCGAGATTATGTAACCGTAATTGTACAGCCATTACGTTCATTATTTACAAATTTGACCCATTTACGTATTAAGATATAGAGTAGCAAAATTTATTACCTAAATCTTGTTTTACAATTTCACAGGCACAACGGGGTGCTCTTGCTCCAAAGAGGACTGTGCCAAGACCTGCTCCAAGCCATGCAAGTGCTGTCCTTAGGCTAAGCGCGTCATGACTGTCTACATGAGTCTCTCCCGGGCGGCGGAGTGGACCGGAGGAGGAGGAGAGAGGGTGGGGGGGGGGAAGATTGGGACCAGTCTTGTGATTGTTATTGATGTGTAAAGTCACCCTTCTATGGGCCTATATTGAATCTGACTTAAATTATTCCGTTAATGTACTTATATTAGATACTTTATATTTTTTGTATTAATTGGCTCTTATGTTCTGCTACATTGAATAGATTCTATTATATCTTCTACTGTATTGAATAAAGGAGTCTAAATTGTATTGTGTTTTCCTAAATGCTTGTAATGAAAGTGTACTGAATATTCAAATTGAGAATGTTATTTCTTGGTAAAATGTTGCACTGATGAAAATTGTGCTCGTAAACTATATTCCGAATCCGCTCGTTACTTATATGCTGTTGCATATACAGGTTTATACGTTGTTTATGCAATATTAGTAAAATAGTCACGAAAATTTGTCACAAAAGAAGTAAAACGGTCTCAAGATTTTTTTTTTATATCAGCGGTCTTGTGAACGGCATTTGTACTTGGGCGTGACAATTTTGACCATCTTCACGAATCCTTGCGGTGGGGGTGGGAGGGGGGGGGGGTAACTAAAATGAATATTGCGAAGATATGAACTAGGTTGAAATTTCTAATTGGAAGTTGAACGGCTACAGCGAATAAAGACTACAAAACATTCGATATCTGCGTAACAATATCATTACAAGGTTTCCTTTCGTTGCGTTAAAGCTTAGTCCCAAATAAAGATCTGAAATATAGTTGAAAGTAATAGAATAGTAAAATATACCCATCCTTCACAGTATCTAAGCTTGATGAGGTAAAGGAAACTTTTCTAGGTTTATGGTTAATGCCATAAAATCGCGCCAAAGCAATGTTCATTTCTCTTCGATATACTTTCCTATTTATCTGACACGGTCTTAATTACAGGGAAACTAAAGGATACATATTTAAGACCTTGGTTTGCGGATAAACTGTACCTGATGACGGATGCAACGGTTACTATATATGTAAAAACAATTTAGTTAATCGTAGTAACGTGCTCAATGGTACCTTTCATTTGTGGTTGGACTACGCGGCTTTTTTATTTTTATTGAGGGGCGTACCTCGGCCACATCGACTGTCTTTGGTATATCGTTTCCATCTTAACAAGGACGTTGGACATGGCGTTGCAACAGTATTAGTCATCGTCTCCTTCACACGCTTGTTTGAACTTTCGTGTTATTGTGTGCTTACGTGTTTTAATCTTACGCTCCCTGCATCGCTTTACGGGCGTTTTTAGAGGACGTTGTGCTCCTTTTACAGGATTATCTTGCTTTGCATCTTCTTTTTGGCGGAAAAATGTTTTAGACTTGCAGAGAAGTTGAGTCGTTATAAATACTTTTAATATATTTGTCAGAATGAAAATGGCAACATAGTGTAATCATTACTAGCGATGAAACGCAATTAGACATTTCTTAAATCTGCATTAAAGCTTTCTCCATATTTCACTTCTCAAATACTTTAACTTCTACGTACCTAATTAAGTGCTTTATACCAGTTTATATGTAATTCCATATGGCCACATACATATCTGGTCGCTCATACCAACATGTATACAGACGATCCCTGGTGAATACCCGTAAACACCTCACGAGCCACTCGGACTAAACAGCTCATTTGTGTCGATTCAAGCGAAGGACCACGACTTGATTAATGGTTCGTTTCCTTCCTTTTCGTAATCTTGTCTAGGTATATATGTATATATATATATATAATATATATATATTTATATATATATATATATATATATTTGTATATACACATGAAATTATATGTACATATATATGTACATATATATCCCACCCTTCGCTTCCACCTACGAAGCGGCGCGCCATGAGGGACCCTCGGGGCCCGGCCCATTTCTAGCCCCTCACGACTTCCTCGATCGTTCCACAGGCCTTCTCCACTCAGGGCTGTCTCGAATAGAAACAATCTGGTGGGCAGGGTCATCCTGCGGGAAACGAGCCTAGTGGAGTAACCGTTGGTTGGACACATGATCCCGCCAACTGTACCCCATGATCAAGATGAGATTCCAAAGCACAAGATAGCGTCCAGGTTTCACTACCATATAGTAAAACAGGCAGTATCAGGACCTTCAAGACCCGTAGCTTGGTCCTTCTACACAGGTACCGGCATCTTCAAATACTCTTGTCGAACCAATCCATCTACTGACTTCCTGGTCTGACAGTCCGGAGTCATGAACTGCATTACCGAGGTAAATAAAGTTCTCTGTGACCTCAATGTTTTCACCTTAAGAACGTACCAACTGAACAGGATCTAGTAGATCCCCGAAATCCTTGGGGCCTACTAGCCCCAGGGACTTCGCTTCATTGCTAAATGCATCAAGAGGTGCCACTAGGGTTTCCAGAGATTCAGATATAATAGCAACATCAGTAAAGTCAAGGTCTGTAATTTCGATATTGCCTAGAGTTGTTCCACAGTGACTTTGGACAGCAGCTCTACCCAGTATCCAGTCCATGTAAGTGTTGAAAAGTGTTGGTGCAAGAACACAACCTTGCCTCACTCCTGAACTAACAGGGAAAAAACTCGAGAGGCCCCAACCTAACTTTACAGTAATTTCAGTGCCACTATACAGAATTGCTATTAATCCAATAATCCTTGTTGGAATTCCTCTTAGTCTCAGGATCTCCCAGTGATTCATGAAACATGGTATCAAATACCTTCTTGAGGTCAATGTAAGCTGCGAGCAGCCCATGTTCGAAATCACAACAGTGCCCTACAATGACTCAAATTGCCAGGATACGGTCTCTTGTGGACTTACCAGTAGTCCAGATTGCTCCAGCCTCTGGTGCCTCTGATATGTCTCAGTAAGATGTGTGTTAGTACCTTGTTTGGTATACTGAGTGGTTTGCCTCGGTGATTGCTGTAGCCCCACCAATCCCCTTTCCCCTTCCAGAGAAGGATGACCAAACCCCTCAGCAGGTCAGGGGGAATGATACCAGTCTGCCAGATGACAGACAGGACACCATACAAGCCCCTTACCATAGTTTCTCCACCAGCCTATAACAGTTCAGCTGGGATGCTGCAAACACCTGCTGCTTTACCATTCTTCAGCTTGGAGATCGCCCCCCTGACTCCAATCAAGGAGGGTGGGTCCTTGCTGATGTGTAGGTCTGTCAAAGGAATCTCAACATTATGCACATCCAAATTAATTGTTGGCGGATCAACCTGGTACAACTGCTCAAAATACTCAACCCAACAATTTCCCACCCCATCAGAATCTGAGATTAACTGGCCACTTGCTGAGCGGACTGTAGTCGTTTGGAGGAGGGCTTGGAGTACAGCTTTCTCAGGGCTTGGTAGGCAGGATGAAGGTCATTTACTAGGGTAAAAATGAACAAAAAATGGTGGAAATGCTGTGTTAATTTTTTTTATTTTTTAATGAAATTTCTCTACACTAGATGGCTCTGCTTTACCGGATTTCATTTGGCGGGAAAATGTATTTTTACTAGTGCTATGAATATCGATGGTTATTTTTATTATAAACATTATAATTACTCTAATGTTATAAACATTAGTAACAGGAAAATAAGATAACGCAAAATAATTTCGTAAATTAAAGAAAAGGGTAAACAGACGAGACAGGCAGTACAAGTGCAAGTGGAGCCATCTATGTTTGTAAACAATCAAACAAGTAAACTCAAAGTGGGCCCGTCACATATACGTGACGCCCAGCGCGAATGGGTTAAGCAGTGACCTAGTCCTGCGCACCAGGGAACGGTGCAAGTTGGGATCCCCTGACAATCAAGCCACACGGTAAGCGTCTGTGGCTTCCAATGTCTCCTGCGAGATGAAATTCTGTCTTGCTCTTGGGCATTCTTCAATTGATTCTTGGGCTGCATTGAGAATTTCACATTACCCATATAGCTGTATCAAGTGCAATGATGCGGGTCTGAATGCTGATAACAGGAGCCAGAAATCCTCAATTTCTAGGACCTAGCAACATCCCAGAAAAGGAGGTTATTCTTACTGCCAGCATCAGCTGGTCCACGAGGACCGACAGACATCTCATAACCAGCTCGGTCGCAGCCAGATACTGCATTGAAGTCACCCAAATCAATATGAATATCTCGCCAAGGACAGCTGTCTGTAACATATGCAAGTTTCGCATAAAACAACTCTTTTACATCAAGTTTTTGCACATCTACATACACAGCATACACAGCAATAAGAAACATGAAGCCAAATGTAAGCTTCAGTCTCAATACCATCATATGCTCAACGACTGGAGTGACCTCTACTACCGAGGGTTGAAGTCTACTGGAGAGTAATGGCTACTCCCTGGAGATGGTGGCCATCGCTGCGGCCCGCCCAGTAATGAGTGTAGCCACCCACACTAATTGTGCTGCTGCCAAGTCTTCTCACCTCCGAGAGAGCAGCCTCCTCAACTCTCAGCTGCTTCAGTTCCTTCGACAATAGTGGTAACCAATCGTCCTGTCGTAAGGAACGGACATTCCAAGCCCCAACCCTGACAACCCGCCTGAGGTCTAACCTCGGGCAGTCACTCCGGGTGGACGCCACCTCAGCCACCCCCACTGACGCGGCCCCACATAGAGAAGGTTGGCTGGCTGTAGGTCACATAATCCACCTGCAGGGGTCCCGTGAGGTTCGCCCCACAAACCTCACGCTAGGTTGGCGGCCGCCGGGACACAGATGGGATGAAAGGTAATCCCCACTCCCTAACTGAGTCCTAGCGGTCGCCAACCCAATGGGACCCATAGTCCGCCTTACTTGCTGGGTAGGAGGGACGTTAGCTCTTCCCCAGGCACCAATGTCTATATGATTAGGTTATCTGGGGGGGGGGGACTGGCAAGGCCTAGCTCTCCACAGCCACCCATCAACCCCTTTTCGCCTTAACTCCAAGGGACACGAGGGCAGGAGCTAGTACGAAGCCAGGTCGTGTCCACACGCCGGTGGACCATGGCTCCGTTCCTTTAGGGCCTCATGCTTCCCCAAGAGCCTCCGCAGTATATATATATATATATATATATATATATATATATATATATATATATATACATATATATATAATATATATATAAATATATATATATATTATATATATATAAACACACACACAAACACACACACACACACACACACACACCCATATATATATATACACACACGCACACATGCACACACACACACACACACACATATATATATGTGTGTATATATATATATATATATATAT